CCCCCAAATGCTGGGCACCCCCTCCCACTTCCTAACCCTCTCTGGTCCCTTCCCCATCTCCCCATTTCCCTGCTATTCCTTAGATCCCCATTGCACAGACCAGGATAGTCATGCAGCCCACCCCTCCTTGCTTCCTGGAGTTCATGATCCCCAACCCTGGGAAGACTGGGGTGAGGCTATCCCCATTTCCCATCCTTCACTCCCCTTCACCCCCGTCTCCATCTCTCCTAAAGCGCTGAGGACGAGGAATCCATGTTCAGAATGGAGACCAGCCTGTACCAGGACATGGACCTGAGGTACTGCCTGTGTGTGTGTAGACGTGTGAGTGGGTGTGGGTGTGTGTCAGGGGGTCTCTGTGAGCCCCCTCCTGGGGGAAGTGGGTGTGTACAAATTACCTCTTTTTGTCCTTGAACACCTCAAGCACGTTCCTGCCTCAGGGCCTTTGCACTTATTGTGGGTTCTAATTGGAACCCCTTTCCTCGTATCTTCTGGCTGATTCCTTTTTCAGTCCTTGCTCAGGTGTCTTCTCCTCATAGAAGCCCATCCTGACCACGAGCTTTCCTGACACTGTGTCCCACAGCCATGAGGGCAGGACCAGGGACCAAAGGTTTGGGGACAGAAGTGCAGGAGCTGGGAGGAGACCAGCCTGGCTGAAAGATTCTCAGCTAAGCCCAAGATGTGCCATCCATCCATCCGTCCATCCATCCACCCACCCATCCTCCCACCCATCCACCTGTTCCTCCCACCCATCCACCTGTTCCTCCCACCCATCCACCTGTTCCTCCCACCCATCCACCTGTTCCTCCACGGGCAACTGAGCTTTAGTTTCTGCCTTTGTGAAGTGGAAACAGCAATGTTGCCTCATTAGGGTTGTTTTGAGGATTCAATGAAGATTCTTTCTTCTTTTTTTTGTAAAAAAATGTTTTTATTGATTTCAGAGAGAGGAAAGGAGAGGGAGAGAGAGAGAAACATCAGTGATGAGAGTCATTGATGGGCTGCCTCCTGCACGCCCCCTGCTGGCGATCGAGCCTGCAGCCCGGGCTTGTGCCCTGCCGGGAATGGAACCTCCATCTCCTGGATCCTAGGTCGATGCTGCCCGCTGAGCCACGCCCGGAGGGCTGAAGATACTTTCTGTAAAACACTCATCACAAGGCCTGCACAGGTACATTTCCATGAAATGGTAGGGACTCTGTTTCTTATTGTGGCCTGGGGCCTTTGTGTCTCTGCAGTAAAGAAGGCAAGAGGGAGAAGAGAGAGGAGAAGGCCAAGAAGGAAGGAGAGAGCAACTTGGGGCTGGAACTGGAGGAGAAAGAGGAGCCCAGAGACCAGGAGAAAGCCAAGATCACGGCCATGTGAAGCTTGCCTGCCCGCCTCCTCCAGGCAGACCCCCAGAGATGCCTCTTCCGCACCCTATAACAAATGACCTGGACCTAAAACCACAGAAATACTCCATCTGGGGTGGGAACCCTGTGCCCGAATGAAGAGGCTTGGGACTTGCCTTACCCCCACCAGGAGGGCTCTTTGCACCTTGCATAGTCTCTATGCACCCTCCTTCCTGATTCGTCCTGTGTAGTGATTCTTCTTGCACTTGTTATGAGGACTCCCCCCCCCCCCC